CTGGTTTTACCGGAAATATGCCTTTGCCGGATTTAGGGGGTGATAATATCGGAAGGGCGCAACCACTCATTATAAGCGTTGCTATGGTATTTTGTTTGGCACGAGTGGAATATGATGTTGAATATGCAGTTACAATAATTAAACAAATTATCATGTATTTGCACGTTCATAGAGTAATAATTACAACAGTTTCACATGATTTACAACAGTATTAAAGGAAAGCGATAAAGGAAAGCATTAGGAAAAGAAACAAAGAGCCAAGTTAGTTTCGTAGTAGAAGAAAGAATAAATACTTAAAGGCATTTAAACAAGTAAAGACATGTAAAGAAACATAAAGTCACAAATAGCATGAAATGGTAAAAGCCTTAAAGAAATCCCCAGCGGAGTCGCTGATCACGCCCAACTATGCCTTATAAAAAGGACAATGCGGTCGTTGCAAATATAATCCGGTTTACAAGTCCGGAGTCGAATCCCACAGAGAATTAAGCTATCAATTACCTTTGTTGGAATCACTAAATTCTTTATAATCAATTTCCCAAACTTTGTAAACAATATTGGATGGTATTTCTACTAACTAAGATTGAAAGTAAATAACTAACAGCTGTAAACTAAATATTCTTGGGTTGAAAACAATAATGAGAAGGTTCTAAGGTAGTGATTTCCCCTATTGATGGAATCCCTTCCGGTTAGGTTGCATATAGATTCACCAAAATATCTCTATCAATTATGAGCACTCTTATTACCGTAAATCTCTCCCGAGTAATTGCGATAATTTACTAGACGCACTCTCCCGAGCTACGCTAGCTGGCTTTGATTATTACAGCTCACTTTAGATCACACCCAAGGCTTCGTTATCCCTAATCCCGCCTTTAAACCCGCAATTATAGATCCCTCTTATACTTTGGGAGTGGTGTTGTTCAACAATTACCTAAATATGCACTCTCTCCCGAGTTATGCACACTAAATAGGCACAGCTAATTGAGGATCCTGTCAATTAACTACAATAAATACGTAATTGAACAAATAGAGATTAACCGGCAAACTATATGAACATAATCAAGAAGTTCATCCTTCAATAGGTTCCATCAAAACCTTAGACTAAAGTATTTAGCTACTCATAACAACGTAAAGATAAACTACGAAAATATTTGTCATGGAAAATTGCAAGAAAAAGAAGAAATAAAGAAGTATGATGTTTTGGGTGATCTCTCACACTTGTGTTTCTTGCCCAAGAACTCTCTAAACAAAATCTGCCCTAATGTAGCCGAAATCATACTTTTTATAAGGGTTTTACACCAATTTTTCCCAACTTGACAATCCTTCCCCTGGCTAGTTCGCGTTCTGCCGCGGTCCTGCCGCGGTTACGCTGGGACCGCGGCCAAAAGGGGTCTCTGAATCTTCATCTCTACTCTGCCGCGGTCCTACCGCGGTTACGGTCTGACCGCGGCAGGCCAACTTCTGCCTTCCTTTGACTTTTCACTTGGTGCATTTCTTGGGCATTGTTTGATTGGCCTCCTTTTCTCCGTAATTGATCCCAAACTTGCTCCATCGACTTATTTCTTTGGATATAACCTGCATAGCATGAAAAGCACTAATCAGAGCATTTGGTTATCACTTTTTACAACAAAGCTATACAAAAATGTGGTTCTTTAGGGTCTAATTATAGTCTAATTCACCTATTATCAACGACCTCGATGTCAAACTTATATTGGGCCACCTTAGCATCGGCTTTGGTGTTGGCCATGGCCATCTCAGGTTTGGCCGCCTCAAGTTCATTGGCAAAGATTGCGTTTTCAGAAATAGCTGAGTCCAGTTGGAATTGAAGCTCCTCGATTTTCTTGACCTGCACCAAGGCTTTCTCTCTTGCATCCCGGAGCTGGGACTCGGCCGACTCCAACTCTGCTTGGACGGCCTCCTTTTTCGAGGACAATATGTCCATATTTTTCTTGAACTCCTCATCCTCGGCCCATATTGTATCTACCTATTCCTGAAGCTATCCGATCTGTTCAAGCCTCTGACAGACCTGCAGGATCAGATCATTAGTAGTGATCTCCAGTTCGTCTTCACTATCGTGAAGCACTCGAAATACCTACTCGGCCATCTCGGTATGCTTCCTCCAAGCCGCTTCTAATTCGGCCTGAAGCTTCTCACTCTGAAGCTTGTAAACATCCCTCTTCTCGGTGAGTTCCGGAACCTCAGCCTCGTGCTCCTCCCGAATTTGGAGGAAAGCCTCGTGATGCAACACCGAAGCGTGCGAGCAAGAAAGAAGATGTTAGAATTATTTACAACTCCAACTTTAAAATAAATAATAAAGTGACCCTCGAAGTTACCCGATTCAGAGCATGTTGGGCCTCATTAAATAGGGAAGGAGCTCCACCGCATTCATCGGCTTGGTCTTCCTCGGTCACCAAGCATATAAGGTAGCTAGCAACTCCCACGCGGGCAGAGAAGACCCAAGCATCCTCCGGGATAGAAAAAGCTATCGACCGCCTGCGGTTGGGGTGAACACTTGGGGCCGGGAATTGATCCACCAGTTTTGGGCTCGATGAAGACCCAATAGCACCTGATGACGGTACTTTCTTTGGCACCAGCAAGTCACCAAACCCGGTGACATCCTCCAAGGTAGCGGACTCAAATCCGTCCAAGAATCCACGGATATCAGTCGCCCCCTGAGGCCCCTCGTAAGACGACCTTCCAACATACCGGCCTCGCGGATCATAGCATCCGAAATCTGAGGGGATCTGGAAATATCGATCACTCCGAGCTCGTCCTTCGGGACATCTTTCGCTGCTCGCGAAGCCTCACCCTCGGTCTCTCTCTCGACCATCTCAGCTTGGGACGGAGTGGCCTCAACTCCTTCTGGTTCGGGAACTTCGGCCAAAGCTCCATTATTAACCTCCTCCGGTTTGGAGGGCTTTTATATCGAAGCACCAGCCCGCACGCGGGCCACCAGTTTGAACCTATCTTCCTCTTCTTCTTCTTTGGACTTATCCCTTAGTCGATGGACTGAGTCCGAAGGTAGAGCGCCGAAGCCCCCTGGGCTTGCGAGACCTCCTCAACGGTCTCTTCTTTTTCGAGTTCGGGGGACTCACGACCCTTTTTCTCTTCTTGTCCCGCCCTGCTTTGGAGTGGGGACTCGGGAGGAAACAGAGCAGATAAGAATTCCACAGTGCAAGAAGGAACTCAAACAATATTGAATCAGAGGAGAAACCGTACCATGATTACGGGCCTCCTATCGACCCTTCGATAACTCCATCCAAGCACGCCCAGAGTATTGTCTCTGTGACACCAGGCCCTCGACCCATTGCTTGAGTTCGGGAAGTACATCTGGTACCTGGGCCACAGCTGCAACGATAAAAACATAGATGAGGAAAGAAGATAAGAAGTAAAACAGCAAAATTGAGCATTCAAGGTGAAGTGCTACTCACGATTCGTGTTCCATTTCTAAGGAAACTGCATGTCTTCGCAGGGATCAGGTCCGAAGTTCTTATTCGGACGAATCGGCCCATCCTCGATCACGAGCCTCGTCTATGCTCGAGAACGGGGCCTTGCTAGCCCGGCAAGCAAGCTTGATCAGCGCTCCTCGATAGAGTCGGGGACTGTAAAGGCGCATAAGGTGATCGAGGGTGAAAGGGCATCCCTCGATTTTTCTTACAAAGAATCGGAGGAGAATCACTATTCTCCAGAAGGAAGGATGGATTTGGCCAAGGGTCACGTCGTACTTCTTACAGAAGGCGATGATGACAGAGTCTAAGGGACCTAACGTGAAGGGGTAAGTATCAACACTTAGGAAACCCTTCACGTGGGTAGTGATCGATTCCTCAGGCGAAGGTACCACCACATGCTTATCAACCCAGTTGCAATCTTCTTTAACCTTAGCAAGGAGGCCAACGGTAATTGTGCATATATACCTCGGGACCGGTTCACATCGACCCGGTACCGAGGAGGTCATTTCAATCTTAAAATCAGCAAAAGTAGGGCACCCTCCCAGAACGAAATCCTCAAGGGGATATTTCACCGCAGCTCCGTCGCCGGCGGGCCGTGATGAAGAGGCGGCCTCCTTTTGCGGTACAGTCTTAGAAGTTTTCGCCATTGTAGAAGAAAAAGGAATTGGGATGGTATGTGGTTTGCTAAAAGTTCAAGAAATTTGGGTGCAAGAGTTCCAAAGCAAAGGGAATTTTTGAAAAGAAACAAGAAGAGGAGGAGCTTTGACGTCCGTCGCCTACGTCATGGCCTATCGAGACGGGACTCGGAGGTTCATATCGTTTCTCGTCATCTTCTCTCCGAGAAACGAGGGGACTATCTGTATACGGTCAATACCGGTCTTGCCCTTTGCATGACTAAGCGAGATCGAAATACGATAGGTCAAGGTTCGACCTCGTGTTATAACGAACCATGGTGCAATGATAGATCGTTGAGCTTGTGACCCAAAGACCGATCAAGATCAAGATTGGCCAAGATCGAGATCGGCCAAGATCGATATGGAGCAAGATCGAGGGAATCTACCGAGCCAAATAACGGAAAGCCGAAATATTCGCAATCGGGCGAGGATCACGGCGGAAATCCCGGCACGTATCAAGAAGAGGCCGATTAATTAGCTAATCATGAGATTTCCTACCTCATATAGAACTGTACCAAGAGTAGGACTTCCCTACTATATAAAGGGGGTCTGATTATTTGTAAAACACGTCATATTCACGCAATACAAAGCAATATACTATCGTTTTCTAGCTTTTACTATCTTGTTACTCTGTTCATAAGTCAGTTGAAACATCTTTTGGTTCAAGGGTGACTGAACTCGAGGGCCAAGGCTATTCAATTTGTGTGGTTTGCATTTATTCTTTTGTCGTCAATTTCCATATTAATTTATTCTTCTTAATCTGTACCGAATTATATCACGTATCCTTAAACCACGTACAAATTCAATTGTTATCCGATTTTAGGGTAAACAGTGAGCAAACAGTACTAACCTATAAATGACCAATTAAACATACTGGGAGCAGACGGAAATATCAAAAGTTTGATCTCGTTTGTGTTTTCAATGGATCGGACCATACAAGTCGCATATCTAGATGCATAAATCCTCAAGATGTTCTTTTACAGGGAAAAAAATGATGCTCTGTATTAGTAGTATGCACTACAAGGTGAAAGAATATAACTGGTCCAAATTGGAGAACCTGCTACCATTTTCACTTTGAGGCCAGAGTTTGAAGATCAATATCATTTAAAAACGAAGGCATGACTTTAATTGGCTCACAAACAAAACCAGCTTCTTGGCATGCATCCACGAGTTGCTTCACTTGTGAAGGCCCATCCGGACAGAATACAACCACAGCCCCACCGCTTCCTGTGAACTTTGATGCAGCACCTATCCTTCGAGCCACCTCAACCATCTCTATATTCACAGCTCCAAGGGCATCGTCATCAAACATATGCCTACATTCATATACTGAATTTCAGAAATTCATTTGAGCATACCAGCTCTATCTTTAACAATACAAAACAACATTTGATTACACTGAGCTTTGCAACAGAAGATGCATAAAAGCCATCAATAAATCAACTACGTCTCAAGGCACATTAGCATCTCTCTAAAACTGGAGGTTCTTAAATCTTACAGTTATTTCTATGCGGGTTATTGTAAGTGTAACAATGACTAAACCTTGATCTGACCTAGTTGGTTAACTAATAAAAATCTGCCAATCAATCAAAGAAAGTTGCCATATGTTGTACCTTCTTAGATCAAAATTTTGATTCATGAGGGTTGCTAGCTTAGCATAATCCTTCGCAAGAAGAGCCTTTTGTCCTTCTACAGCTATGTTTGCGACCTCCTCCATTGTTGATATAATGAACTCATCACCTGCTAACCATCTCTGTCGAACTGTACTGTGGACCTGCATTAGAGAAATGCTTTATCAATTAATGCCCAGAAATAGTGATATTCATGTTCACCTATAAACCTATTGCAGCAATTACGCTTTCCATCATCAAAATTGCTTAACAAATTAGTGGAAGATACAAGAGGTGACCATGATGCTGAAAATAGAGGGTCCTCGACAACCTAAATTGTCCCCTCTTCAAGTTCCCGTCCTTAACCTCTTGTATCATGTCAAATATAGTTCAATAGATTAAATTGAATGCAGAGTTAAAAGTAAACAACGACTCAAAGGTGTAAACGGTACAGACCTTTCCAGAATCACTGGGATTCTCAGCGTAGATGAGGTAAAGAGGCGGGAGAAGAGCAATATCCATGGGTGTATATATGCCATGACCAAATTCATCCATGTGTTTCTTGCTAAAATCCTGCAAAAGGTAAAAACTGATCATACAGACTATAGCAACATTAAGACCATGTTTCTATTAGTCTTCACTTATACCATGTATACGAGGCCTCCATAAGTCTGTGCCACTCTATCCTGCAGACCAGCTACAATTCCAAGTTCTTTCTCTGCATTAAGGACCAGGTTCGGCCTTACCTCAACTTTGATAAGATGTCTGACTTCATAAAAGTCAATAAGACAATTCAATGCAGCAGTTACAATAGCACTGGAACCCGAAAGCCCTGTCTGGAATGTGAAAGGTTTTTTGAATATGAATCGAACTTTTTCAATAAGTGATTATCATGAATGTTTTCTCTACCATAAGTATGACCAACAGCAATGATAACAGTTGCTAAATTCAAGAAATAGTCAATGAGCAAAAGAAATTAATATATTTTAACACTTTATATGAGATAAAGAGATGGTGGCGACGTGGGAAGTAGGAAACAAAGAAAAGACTTACGAAGTAGGAAAACCAAAAACTCAAGAAAAATCAAGGAGTTGTATCATGATCCTTAAAGCTCTACGCGTAAACCTTTCGTCACATTGGAAATCAAGATACAGATGCTAATTTATTAGACCATATACGATCCAAATCTACTACTATCTTTTTGTAGGTCCTAAGTTCAACAGATGTTATATTGTTTTGTGTGAGCCTATTCCAAGGTACTGTTTTATTCTCCTGATTATGGATAAAGGAATAAATCCACCTTACTATCATAACATGATTGCCGAAAAGATTGTCCAACTAGGAAAAAAGCATCTATGTTAGAAGTCTTCGTAGACAAAGAGACTATACACTATACAACTAGAAGAAATCTCACATCAAACTGAAGCTAATTCCTCTACAGTTGACCAAATGCCGGGGAGAATCTAAAGCGAGAAAGGTGCAGAGTCAAACCAGCCTCCAAGTACTTGAAGCAGTAGGTAGAGTTGTAAGAAGAAAATCAAGTTGCTAGATATTTGGCTGGAGATTGACTCTGTTGAAGCTTCTTTGGGATTGGTCAGTCAACAAGTAGCTAAAGCTTCAAACTTTTGTCAATACTCAACTGAAGCTTGAGCACTCTCCTAGGGTTAGTTAAATAATTGAGTTGAGCGGCCTCAACTGGATAAAGGATTTGCAAAATATAAAGGAAATACCTAGCCACATGAGCTTTTATTGACCAGCACTAAAAACTCATTCAAGTTGTTAAGAAAACAGTTTACACCATGATTTGAAGCCTGTTCTGGAACCAATTTCATAAACAATGATAAACTACTGAGTCTAAAATCGAGTAACCGAGCTTTTTAGGAAAACCTAAGACATTGAATTTGTTGCTTGGTCTTTTTTGTCATCTAAATTTCATATGATGCTTCTGGCTTCAAAATAAAGATATAAATACGTCCGAAAAAATATTTTGGAATATCTGAACAACATGTATGAGGTTTCTTGACAACTAATCACAAAAACACCAAACAAGGTACCATCTAGGAGCAGATAAACCTTGCAGGGTTAAGCTTTACCTGTCGGGGAATGTTAGTATCATAGGAGATAGTGAAATTTCCCTCACATAGAGTAATGTTGTTATCCTTGCAAAAATTGTGAAAAATCTTACAAATTGCCATAAGTAAACGCACACCTCCATAGTAACCCTCACTCTGCAACCGGTTCACCTGTGATACAAGAAGAATGAGCTAAACACATAAGTACACACATACATCAAACAGAAAGCGAGAAGACGTGGAAGACCGTCACAAAAAGCCCAAAAGTAAAGTATAAATTTGCTCTCTATCCATAGCAAGATACTTTTAACTCTTTCATGACTGCAAAAATGTCTAATAACATTGCGCTTCTGGAAACCCTTCATTGCCAATAGCTCAAAAAGAATTGATATAAAATTCGCAGATGTACTCTCCTTCACTTCACTTGCCTTGGGTCTATAACATGAATTTACTCCTCACTATGCAAACAGACAACTGTTGGATCTTGCAGTATCAGCTTTCCAGGAAAGACACCCAATGAGCAGAGTAGCAGAGCCAAGATTTCATCCACAGTGGAATCCCACAAGTGGGGTCTAGGAAGGGTAGAGTGTACACATACCTTACCTCTGCCTTCAAGGGGATTCAAGAAATAAAAATATAAACACGCGAAGAAGCTAAGGGGATTCAACACCTAATATATATGAACATAAAAAAGTTGATCATTCTGGCGAAGCGCACCCTAGCTCCGTCCATGCCAATGAGAAGTACAAATAACCCAATACAAATCCACCAATTTTACTAAGCAAAGAAAGGTAATGTTCTCTCTCTCTCTCTCACACACACACACATAAACGTACGATTACCATAACCATTTCACCAGTCCAGGTACATGCTACCACAACATCAGTGACTTGAGAATTAAAGTTACATAATGAAACAGAAACAATCTAAATGGTAATTCGTCCTTATGTATAGTTCTCTATACGGTTAACCAAACTCTAACGGAGTCCACACTGAATCAAAAGGAGATGCAGCTACACTGGGTCAGTAATTTCAGAAAAGCTCCAAGCTTTGAGACTAAAGTTCGATCATATGAATAAGCCATAAGGATAACCATATCAACTGGATGGTTAACCAAATTAGTTGTTCATTATTTTACTTATCCTACTAAAATTTATATAAATAAATAAAAGCGCAAGGCACATATAGAGGATCCAATCTCACAAAAATACAACAACAACAACAAAAGTTGTGTAATTGCACAAGTGGGGTTTGGGGAGGCAGAGTGTACGCATAGCTTAACCCTGCTATGTGAGGGTTGATGTAAGAAAGTGAAACCTTTGCGAATTTAGAACTAGCAATATATGGATATCCGACTAGATAATCAATCAATCAATCAATCGATCAATCAAACTACACCTCAAATCTAAGCAAGATTACTTAATTCTCTATATTCATTATGTTTTATTCACGCTATTACATTATGACACTAAATAATTAGTCCTTCAAACCAAACTGAAATTCTCCAACACTCCATGAACCTCACATTTACCCTATTATGAAATATATATGTCTCTAACTAGACTAAAAAAAATTTTCACAAACACCGATCATCAGCACAAAAAGAATAAATAATAGTAAAAGGAGAGAGCGAGAGACCAGGTGAGTAATGGAATTGAACCGGACAAGATCATGAGTAGGATGCGGTACAATGAGGAGATCTTTAGAAGGTTCCAACCGAACTGAAGCCCAAAAGTTGCCGAGGCTGAAAGATAAGGTTTTTCCATAATAAACATCGCTAGGATTGCCCAAAAGACCAACTCTAGCGTACGATTTGTGCTCGATCACCGCCATTAATTCTATTCAGAATCCCACGTACAAAAATATTGGCTTCAGTTTCTTGTGATTTTTTTCTGACGAATTTCTCCGCATGTGCAATTAATGGTACTTTTGTGATTGTGGGATGCTGCTATTTTAATGGTAGTTTTGGTTTTTGATCCGTTTTTAGTAGTATAAGATTGGATTGACACGAAATGGCAATGTCTCAGTCAGGAATCATGGGATTCAGCAGATTCAGGTGATGCATTCCTGACGTGGCAAATCTATCATTTTATTTGTCCTGATCACTATATATGCATGCTAAACGTTACATGGATTTAATTCATACTATTTTGTATATCATATTGATAAATATAAGCTTTTTAAAAATTCCATAATGTTATAAAATAATAAAAGAACAAGATCAATATTGCAGAGAAAGAGAGAGAGGAAATTCTTATTGAATTTGGTATGAATTACAATGGAATAGAACCATCTATTTATAGGGAGATGGTGACTTAGCCACCAAGTAATAAACCCTAGAATCTCTCTAAATATGGACATTCACCATAAATAGGATTCTATTTATAACACTCCCCCTGAATGTCTATTCAACAGATAATGTGCCTCGTTAAAACCTTAACTAAAAGAAAACCCAATGGGAAAAAAATTCTAGAAAAGGAAAAAGAGTACACATGTTTAGAAATGCGCCTATTGGTTGCCTCGTTAAAAACCTTGCAAGGAAAACCCAGTGGGACAAAACCTTGTAAGGGAAAAAGAGTGCAACGCGCATTAACTCCCCCTGATGAGAGCATCAATTCACATCCTTGAGCTTTCGCATCCCGATCTTGTACACTAGCTTCTTGAAGGTTGACGTTGGTAGAGATTTTGTGAACAAATCAGCCATATTATCACTTGAACGAATCTGTTGCACATTAATATCACCATTCTTTTGAACATCATGTCTGAAAAATAACTTTGGTGAAATGTGCTTTGTCCTATCTCCTTTTATGAATCCTCCCTTCAATTGAGCTATGCATGCTGCATTATCTTCATACAAAATTGTGGGTAGTTTGTCACATTTCAAACCACATTTATCTCGAATAAGATGTATTATAGACCTCAACCACACACACTCTCGACTTGCTTCATGAATAGCAATTATCTCAGCATGATTAGATGAAGTAGCCACAATTGATTGCTTAGTCGATCGCCAAGATATGGCAGCGCCTCCACAGGTAAATACATAACCTGTTTGAGACCGAGCCTTGTGTGGGTCAGATAAATATCCAGCATCAGCATAACCAACAAGATCGGGACTGCAATTGTTGCCATAAAATAAGCCCATATCGGTAGTCCCTTTTAGATACCGCAATATGTGTTTGATTCCATTCCAATGTCTCCTTGTGGGAGCAGAGCTATATCTTGCTAAGACATTAACTGAAAAAGTTATGTCAGGCCTTGTAGTATTGGCAAGATACATTAGTGCACCAATTGCACTAAGATATGGTACTTCAGGACCAAGTAGCTCTTCATTCTCTTCTTGAGGTCGGAATGGATCCTTATTCACATCAAGTGATCGAACAACCATCGGAGTACTTAATGGATGTGCTCCATCCATGTAAAACCGTTTCAATACCTTTTCTATGTAGGTAGATTGATGAACAAAAATTCCGTTTGCCAAATGTTCAATTTGCAAACCAAGACATAATTTTGTCTTTCCGAGATCTTTCATCTCGAATTCCTTCTTTAAATAATCAATTGCCTTTTGGAGTTCTATAGGAGTTCCAATAAGGTTTATGCCATCAACATATACGGCAAGTACAACAAATTCCGATGTTGTTTTCTTTATAAAAACACATGGGCAAATGGCATCATTTATATAGCCTTCCTTTAATAAATACTCACTAAGACGATTATACCACATTCGTCCTGATTGCTTTAGACCATACAAAGATCTTTGCAATTTGATTGAAAACATTTCCCGGGACTTTGAATTATGTGCGTTAGGCATTTTGAATCCCTCGGGAATTTTCATGTATATCTCATTATCAAGTGAGCCATAAAGGTAGGCGGTAACCACATCCATTAAATGCATGTCAAGCTTTTCATGGACAGCAAAACTAATGAGATAACGGAACGTTATAGCATCCATAACGGGTGAATATGTCTCTTCATAATCGACACCAGGCCTTTGTGAAAATCCTTGTGCAACAAGGCGTGCCTTATATCTTTGTACCTCGTTTTTCTCATTTCTCTTGCGTACAAAGACCCATTTATAGTCAACAGGCTTAACACCATTAGGTGTTTGGACTACAGGCCCAAAAACTTCACGTTTTGCAAGTGAGTTCAACTCTGATTGGATTGCTTCTTTCCATTTTGGCCAATCAAGTCTTTGTCGACATTCTCCAACAGATTGAGGTTCAAGATCCTCATTTTCTTGCATAATGCTAGATGCAACATTACATGCAAAGACATAATCCACCACTATATCCACTCGATTCAAATTTGTCTCAATATCGATTGGATTTATTGATAGTTCCTTATTTTCTTGAGTCTCGGGCTCAGTGGATTCCTCATGAATCTCAGAATTTATTAAATTGTGAATTTCTTCATGAGATTCTTTCGTAGTGTCATTTTGATTATTTGTTTTCCTTTTTCTAGGATTTCGATCTTTGGAACCTAATGGTCTGCCACGTTTCAGGCGTGCTTTTGACTCATTAGCTATGACACTAGAAGATTCTCCAATAGGGACATCAATACGGATTGGAACATTCTCCGCAGGGATATGTGACTTTGTTATCCTTTTCATATCCGTAAATGCATCTGGCATTTGATTTGCTATTCTCTGCAAATGAATAATCTTTTGCACCTCTTTTTCACAAATAGAGGCACGTGGATCAAGATGAGATAATGATGGATTTTTCCACAAAATTTCTCATTTGGTTTCACCAACTTCACCCCCTAATTTTGGGAAAAGTGTCTCGTCGAATTGACAGTCTGCATCGTGCAGTAAACAAATCCCCCGTCAATGGTTCGAGGTAGCGAATAATGGAGGGCGATTCAAACCCAACATATATTCCTAACCTTCTTTGCGGACCCATTTTGGTGCGATATGGCAGTGCTACAGGCACTTATACTGCGCATCCAAAGATTCTTAAATGGGATATATTAGGTTCATGACCCAAAACTAATTGCAACGGGGAATATTTATGATAATTTGTCGGTCTGAGACGAACTACCATTGCTGCATGCAAAATGGCGTGACCCCAAACAGAAGTGGGCAACCTCGTTTTCATGAGTAACGGTCTTGCTATCAATTGCAGACGTTTAATTAAAGACTCTGCAAGACCATTTTGAGTGTGAACATGAGCTACAGGATGTTCCACTTTTATCCCAATTGATAAGCAATAATCATTAAATGCTTGGGATGAAAACTTAGCATTATCAAGTCTAATAGACTTAATTGGATTATCAGGAAATTGTGCCCGTAATCGAATTATTTGTGCCATTAATTTTGCAAACGCGAGGTTGCGAGATGACAATAGGCACACATGGGACCATCTAGAAGATGCGTCTATTAAGACCATAAAATATCTAAACGACCCACTAGGTGGGTGAATAGGTCCACAAATGTTCCCTTGTATACGTTCCAAAAACGCAGGGGACTCAATTCCAACCTTTGTTGGTGATGGTCTAATAACTAACTTGCCTTGATAACAAGAAGTGCAAGAAAATTCATCATTTAAAAGAATCTTTAAATTCTTTAATGGATGCCCATTTGAGTTTTCTATAATTCGTCTCATCATAATTGATCCAGGGTGTCCCAATCGATCATGCCAAAGTACAAAAGTATTGGAATCGGTAACCTTTTGGTTTACAATAGAATGTGCCTGAATTGCACTAATTCTTGTCCAATACAGGCCACAAGACAAAGATGGGAACTTCTCAATAGCCCTTTTCTGGCCAGAGACATTTTTGGTAATGATGAGATATTCAAGATTATTCTCATCTATTGTCTCAATATGATATCCATTTTGACGGATATCTTTAAAACTCAACAAGTTCCTCTTGGACTTGGAGGAGAACATTGCATTCTCTATAATAAGTATTGTTCCCTTAGGCAGAGTTATAGTAGCTCTTCCAGAGCCTTCAATTAATTTACTACTACCAGAAATTGTAGTAACATCTGCCTTACACATACTTAAATGAGAGAAATATTTCTTCTCTTTGAATATTGTATGTGTTGTACATGAATCAACTAAACAAATATTTGATCCAAGTTTGTTTTGTGAGGTATCCATATTTGCTTCCCATGATTTGACATACAAAAGAAATATACGAATAAACGTTAGTATTTTCAGAGATAAAGAAAAAAAAAAAACAAAGCTAAATCAATGATTCAATAATGACCTTTTAATGCAATTTCGAGCAAACTCTGATTATGAATCAATAACATTTTAATTTGCTTAGATTACACCACTTTCTGGAGAATTAGATAAATATTGCTAAATTCCAATAAAGTATACATGTATAAATGCAAACACACATACAAGTCATTTCCTCTGTAAAGCAATAATAGATTGTTATTTCTGCTATTATTCTTCATAAAAAAATGTAATTCTCACAATAAATATCTTAATAGGTTACATCTAAACCTTCATGTACAAGGCCTTCTAAAATGACGAATTTGGCGGTAAAAAAAATCATATGAATTAAAATCTTTGGATTTACATAAAACAAAAAGTTACGTAAACAGTTATCATACTTTCTGTTTCGTTTTCGTTTACTTACATGTCGTTATTTGAATATCTATAATCTACAAAAAGAAATATTGCAAGTACTACAGATGACAACGTCTATGATAATAAGTCATATTATTCTATTGATAAAACAATTTCTAAAATAATACTAGAACTATATTTAATTAAAACAAACTAACAATATTCCATAATAATACTAATTGGTACTAATGACTACTACTCATGTAAAGAATTATGATTACATGATGTTTATTCACTAAGTACTACGAATAGGCAAAAATAAAAATTAAACTACTCAATCTTCTTTAACCACGGATCCATCACCGATCAAGTGGTCTATTTTCCCATCAGGGCGCTCAAAGAAGTCTGCCACATCCAAGTGGGTGATGTCAAAATCATTGTCAGATATAAAATTGGCTTCAGGGCCTTTATTCTTTAGAGATGCTTGATAAAGCTCAACCAAATGTCTTGGTACACGACAAATATTTGCCCAATGCCCTT